AGGAGCTCCGAACTACTTTCAGGTCCTTGAAGACGACGAGATAGTCGAGACGACGAGATAGTCGAAACGTCGACCAAATAAAGCGGTTTCTATCTTAACAAACCTGTACAGCGAAACACTGCAAAAACATTATGCAACATGCCCAGGTTTCAAGAAGACCGAACGTGGAATTTACTCGTTACAGGTCTCGACGTACATCAGTTTGACCTGTTGGTCAGACTCAACGATTATATACTTTTATATTATGTATTTCCTTCGAAATCTGTTTCTTTTTTCAAATGTCTTTTCCCATGTCCGCCTCACAGTATCGTTTCTTTGTTTACGTTCGCAGTTTTGTCGATCGCACATCTTCAAATGCCGTGGTCGACGCAGTTTCTTTTCCGAGAGGCCACGCCCCCTATCGACCATTGATTTACTTCATCATCGCCAGCTTCATACGTAATCTAATTCTGACTTTTCTTTCCTCTTATCAACCTATGACTCGCGTTATGTTTTATATATTTATTTATAAGGATATCTTGTCGCTATGCTTCGTTGTTTTCATATTTCGCTTTATCTTCGTGGCGTCGCCTCTCTGCATGTTTTTTAAGTATCTGCATACCATTACGCATATTGCACATATTGCATTGCTCTTTCCCCTTTCGCATACGTAGTTTACAACCAATCTTTCTTCCTTTTCTGTTACATACCTTTAATACATTAGTTTCTTTTCGAGTGATTATTTTTGTTCTGTGAATTCTTTTTCTGTGCGTTCATGATCGATCTCTTCGTTCACTATGGAGGAAACATCTCTTCTTCCTGATCCGGATCCAGGTACGTATCCGGTATCTACTTTTTCTTCTTCTACTACTTCATCCCTTGTTTCTATTGTTATTTGTCAAAGTCGCGTGGCGACTGGAACGACGATTCGTTCTTGTGCTCCTTCCTATGGTTCTCAGTCCTCTGCTGATTCCACCTTGAAGTCCGCGCATTTGAAAAGTTCTCCAGTATCTATTCCAGAGAATGTCCCGATGCATGACGTATCTGATTCTCTTGAAGCATCTCCGATGATCTCTCGACGCTCTTCTCCATCCGTGGCGTCTTCCAATCTTGACTCCATGCGTAGTATGATGGCATCAATTTCTAAATTGATGCCATCATACTACGCAACATCATACATACTAATGATACAGCCATCTGCGCAAGAAACTGCGCCCACTCTTGAGTCCCCACAAACCCCTCCAGCCACGGTGAAACAAGCCGCTCCGGCCAGTCACCAGTCACCCCCCCCCCGGGCGTCTCCCGACCCGGGGCACGCGTGGCGCGCCCCAACGTTCCAGAGGCTCTCGAGTTGCTGTGCGAGGTCGAGGCCCATTTACCATGGGAATGATTTCCTCGTCGTCCACCGCCGGTACCAGCAGTTCGTCATCGTCTTCTTTGCGAGGCGCCTCTGCTTCTCTCCGTGGACGTGGGGCCAAACAAGCCCGCCAGTATCCGCCTGGACCCCTTCCCCAAGTGGACACGTCTCAGCTGCCTCAAGTAACTCCTCCTGAGTTCTCTCACTACCTTACAGAGTCACACCCCTGGGCAAAGTACGTTAACCCCCGCCCAATTCGTCTGCTCACCCAGGATTGCCCGCCGGTAACTTCCGTCTTAGATGTCGACGTTCACCGTCATTTACCGGACTCGAGCTACTTGTCGACACGTTTCAACAGGTCGCTTTTCCCGAAGGCAGTCCTCGGCCCCGATGAGATGCCTGCAACAATCCCACTTACAGAGCTGCAGCACCTGGAGGACATCATCAATTTCCGCGCCAAGTCGAAAATAGTAATGGACCAGGTTTTACTCGGCTCCTATAGCGACGTCGATACGGCCCACATCAAGCCTTCCCCATACCAGACATATGTCACTAAACCTCCTCCATACCAGTACCTATCCTGTCCTCTACCAAGTCGTCTCCACAGGATATGGCCCGGGAGTAATCTTAGAGGCCAAGGACTTCTTCATTGTTGGTCCCAACCGTCGCGAACTATATTGTATAGTCCTAGATAAGTACGCCGTTGACATCGTTACCGGCGGTCGCGGCTTCAACAAAAACCATATGTCCATTGAGGACTCCGTATGGGTTTATAATGTAAAGCCGACGCGACAAGCATTGCAGTCCCCGGCATCGGTCCTTAAACAGGCCTCATTACCGAGGACTATGGCCCTCGACACTTCATCGGTTTTCTTTTTCAGGGTATCTCACTTCGCGTTGTCCACGGTGAACGCCCCCCCCCCCCTGAACACGACTACGGCATTATCTTGTCGCGAACTATCCGTGCCGATCAAGTCATTCACGCTTGGGCAGTATTTGAAGGATGCCCCGGGGCGGTTACCCTGACCGCTTCCGCCTGTACTTTCTCGCTTCACCGCTGAGCTACCTACGAGGTCGTAAGTGCAAGATCGCGGGTAAACGTATCGGCAGCGATGTGATTTTGCGAACCTCCCGTGTCCTTTGAATCGCGAGCTCAGTTAGCTGAGATCGTGAGTTCATTCCTACCGATGCACCCGGGTGAAGGCATATCTCCTCTGGCAGACTTCAAACTCCTCCAAGTGGACAAGGCATGGCTAGCTGACCGTCCCGCCAGATTCCATAATTTCCAGCGTGATCCTGTTGGGTCGAAACAACGATTAGGTAAAATCTGTGACGTAGCCTGCTTAGCTTTGGCGGCGGTACACGCAGTAGGCGACGATAAGCAAACTCACAGAGTCCTCGGCACTATACTCACCCCTGGTATCCCCTACGCATACAGTTCACTCTACTCGATATGGCGTCCGAAGCGGGATGGGCGCCAGAACGTCACTTTATCACGTGGATTCCTGGTACTGAACGCCTAATTTGGGCCAAAGTAGTAACGGTCACCTCTAGTCCGGCGCGGAAGACGGTATTCGTAGTGATTCATGCGCTTACCTGGTCACACGAGGCCTTAAAACGCGCCTTCGAGCAGCACGGTCGCATGCTCAAGGAGCAGCGCATCTGCTACATATGCGTGCGCCTCGACAAGTCCACAGCCGCGGCGAATCCCGTGTTCGACCTGATCTCGCGTTCCAACATCTTCGGCAACCTTCGCCCGGGGGTCATGGACGATCACGTCGTCAATTTATTCCATGCCAATCAAGCAATTAGCACGAGCGACGAACCCTACCTGCGTGATTTACCGCCTCCCTCTGGCCAACCCCGCTCATTTCTCGTTAGAGGGCGTTCATTGACCCTCACTCCCGATCAGGAGGACGTGGTACGCATCGGCTCTGAGCTGCTTCCCCTCGTGGCTATCCAGGCCGCTTACGGGACAGGGAAAGCTTTAGTAGGATCGCTGATCGCGGCGTAACTTCAGTAAGTTCCAAAAATATTACCATCGTCACCACCTCCACCAACACGGCAGTGGCGCAGTTCACGAAGACTCTCCTCTCCTTGAACGATTTCGCGCACCTCAACATCGTGCGTCACATCTCCGACACCGCCGCTGCTGACAATCTGACTCCGACACCGGTGGATCTCGGTAAAATCCTTCGGACCCTCGGCGACGACTATGAGAAACAGCTCTAACATGAGGACCTCCAGACCTGCTATCAATTCCAGGAGTATAGGGAGGTCATCGAGAATTATCTCGACCACCCGGAATTGATCCCCAACATGTCGGACGAAGGTCAGGAGGAGTACGAAATCGCAGAGCGTTATGTGTCGCAAACCCTTAAGCGTATGGTGAACATAATGTTTACCGTACGCCGTCCTTCGATCATACTTTGGGCGGGATATCCACCCCGTATTCGACCGAATTTACCACCGTAATCGGTGTTGAAGCTTCGCAAATTCCTGAGCCTACGTTGCTCGCAATAGCCGGACAATTAACCCGCGCTCGCCACGTATGTATAGGGGATGTCCACCAATTGGCGCCTCACGTCAAATGCCCCCCCCCCCNCCCCCCCCCCCCCTAATTCCGGTCCTGTTCTCCACGGCGCGCGTAGTGTAATGCCCTCCTTTTACAGTCTTCTGCAGTTCCGGTGGCCCCCCTTATTACCACCTTTAGGTCTCATCCGGCCTTCATCGACCTCCCCAATCGCATAGCTTATGCCGATCAGCTTGTTAGTGGTACTCCAGCGCAGTCTCGCAGATCCTTTTTACCACCATGCGTTTTCCCGCGCCCGATATTCCATTTATGTTCATCGACGTGAAAGGGGAATCAGCCCAGGCGCCCAGTAAGTCGTATTATAGTGAGAGCGAGGCCCAATCTTGTCAGCAGCTCCTTGAACACCTCATCCGCCTGGGAGTCCCACCCCGTTATACGTGTGTCATCACATTTTATAGGGAACAATATCGACAAATCAAGCCCAACCTGGACAGCCTGAACGTGGAACTTGCGATGGTCGACTCCGCTCAAGAGAGAGAGGAGGTAGTCCTTTTGCTTTCTACCAAAACTGATTTCTCTCCAGCCACAGCCGCATTTCTCAATGATTACCGACGTTTCGACGTAGCTGTCTCTCGCCGCAGGCATGGTCAGATCATATTTGGCCATGCCGAAACTAAGGAAGGTCCCTACATGGAACACCCTCTTGCAATGGCAGATTCCATCGGAGCGGTCGTCCCAGCAGATGACCTACCCCAATATCTGCAGCGCCCCCTCTAACTTCGGTGAGAAACTTCCTTTTTCTCCTTTTTTATGTACATTCTTAAAGTCCGGGTCGGACTTTGGGTAAAGGCGGGGAAGCCGCCGTGCAAACGCGGCTATCAGCTGATGATGTTACAGTATGACTCATCATGGAATTTCAGGGCGGAGCGGCGACCCTGAAGAAATTCAGCGGGGAGTTGACTGGAGGTCGCCACCGAGGACGGCAGCCCCGAGCTTTCTTCCTGTATGGGGGCGAAGCCGTGGACACCACGAATATATCTTCCTTGATCTCAGCCTCTGTCTTCTGTTATGTAATTATTATATTATGTTGTATGATTGTTTGTTATCATGTAATTTATTAATTCCTATAGTTGCATGTTTGTCTATTGTTAGTGTTATTAGGATAAATTATATATGATTGAACAAGTTTTCACAGAAGCAGAGACTGAGCCCGCTTCCCTGTGCGCGCGAGCTCAGTCAACTGCGACTCGCAGCTAAACCTAAACCCGAAAAATTGGGGGACGGCGGACATCTATTCAAATATTGCTGCAACTCTTTAGCTAATCAAGTAATTCGTTGCGGGACCAACAGCATCTATTTCTTCAACACGAGTCGTGCTATTTCATGTCCGATGACGGTAGCAGTCTGCCATTGCGTACAGACAGTAATTGCTGTAATCCTTACTACATATAATCCGCAAATGTCCGTTTGTCTGTTTTTCTATCTGTTTTTCTGTCTGTTCGTCTGTAACACTATCTTATATGGTGCCGTTTGGAAAACAACTGAAACAGCTCAGACAGGTTGGAACAAGTGGGAAATGAGGTTGGAACAAGTGGAGAATGAGCTGGGCTCTTTGGGTACCCGTGACCTAAGCTAGGCTCCGCCCACTAGGGGCAGGGCTGCGCGAATAGCGTAGCTCATCGGAATTCTGTAACTCCTTTGCTCCTAAGCCTAGAGTATTCAAATTTGGCAGGCATGCAGGCGGCAAGGTGCGAAAACTAATCGTAGGTGAGAGGTGTAGACTCCGCCCGCTGGGGGCGGGGCTTCCTCAAAAACAGTCAAATTGAACCTGGGTCGTTCAAATTTGGCAGAGATGTAGGTGGCGAGATGGGAAAACTAACGGTAGGTGACAGGTGCAGACTCTGCCCACCGGGGGCGGGGCTTCCTCGGAAACAGTAAATTTGGACCTGGAGCGTTCAAATTCTGCAGAGATGTAGGCGGCAAGATGGGAAAACTAATGGTAGGTGACTTCACCCATCGGGGCAAGGTTTGCGTGAAAATAATAGGTATGGACCTGCCTGTCACGACATAAATTCCGTCATTACAATATATTAGCCAACGAGATCGTCGATGCGTCGGCTATCAAATGCCTGGTGCGACGGAATTTCAAAGTGTAAATAAACTCCCATTCCATCTCCAGTAAAATACAGGCATTCCACAATGGTAAGGGGTAAACAAGAATTTAATGATGGTATTTTTTTGATTTTTTGGGTTGTCTCAATCACTACATAGATAAAAGTGTGTAAATGGTTGCCCAGGTTATCTTCGAGGGAATACATTTATGAGAAGCCATTAGACGCGCACGGTATCGTGCGCAGCCCATCTGCTTTCCTAAAAAACACAGATAAGTTGAGCAGAACCAAACTCATGAAGGGCGAGGCGCAAACGGGGTATTGGGTGTATGTATGTGGGTGTGTGTGTATTTGGCCGAAATTTTTACTCCTGTTCAACCGTACCAAAGCATTCAAATTTGAAGGAAACGTAGGCGACAGGGTATTTTTGCACAGAAAGGAGGAGCGCCCGTCATCAGCCTGGCGATCCGATGAGAATTATAAGAAGGCTGACATGAGGAGCAGCGCTGATATCGAATTCATTTTTTAGAACTCGTTTGTGCTGTTAAATTGTGACGGCAACGGGTAGAAGCGGAAAAATATTTTGTTAGTTCTACTTGCTTCGGATGTTATGATGGGTAGCGTATAACGTGAATAATCCCTGTGACAAGCGTGAATTGAATTCTCCCATCGAGCGAAGCACTCATGTGGAGAAAAAAGTCGTTAGTCATCCATTGACGATGGACTCCACTTCTAAGATACTATCATACATCCGCTTAGAGTTATTTTTGAGGGAGTCCATTTATCGAAGGTCATGAAATGCGCACGGTATTGTGCGCAGCTCAACTGGTCTTACATACACACAGAAGGACTCAAAGGACGAAATAGGGCAAGCACGAAGCGTGAGCGGTTGCGTCGCGGCAAATGGGACATTGCTAACCATTTTCGCTCAGACTTGGTAAGAATACCAGAGTACAGAAGAAGAAGTTACTAAGAAGTAACTTCCTACGATGGGCCGTTAGACTATAGTCTGATAATGTATGTATGTCTCTTTTCTTGCATGCTTCTTCGTTCATGCTTCTTCCAAATCCACTGGTGAGTAGCTGCTCGTCCCAGCTAATGACTACTGAACGTTGTTTGGTAATGTGTTTTTATTTCTGTTGCATGCTCTCTCATTTGTGTTTCTTCTTAGACAACTGCAGAGTGTTGCCTTCACTGATAGAGTGTTGAACCCTGGCCCAGAGGGTATGCTAACTTCTGTACGATTGACTGATACAACTCATTCAATCGAAAGAGGCTATGGATGACGATGTTCAAGCTGAAGAGAGGTTTGGAGAATATCCGCACGCTGTGTTTAATCGCCAGCGACTGCGCAGAAAACAGAAAAGCTTATTAGGTGGAGAGCGAAAGAAAGGCAATGCTTGTGAAGCGGGGCGATCTTAACTAGGCGTGAAAACTCCACGATCATTGCGCTGCCCGCATATCGATATGCAGCAAGTCAAAATTTTGAATGAATAGTATAATAGCAGTGAAAAACTGAAGCTATGAAAGCTTAGGTTTCTCATTAGAAAACTTCCCATTAAAACTGGCTAAGAGTTCTGATTTCGTGCATAATGAAAAGAATAGTGAATTCGCGGATCATAGCTCTACAAATAATTCCACTCCATCCCGCATTTCACATTTCACCTGTGCACAGAAAGAAGATTCCTAGCCAGCATTATTCAAATTTCCCAGTTCCAATCATAATTGTTTTCAAGATGCTCCACCTTCCTATTGTTGCCATTCTCTTCAGTTTTTTATCTTTTACTCGCTTGATAGCGATATGCTGACAGCATAATGAAAATGCAGTTTTCGCACTTACTTAAAGGCACTGTCAACAAAAAAGTAAGGGTACCCTTTTTTTGACGGGAATAGATAGAACTACTTTAGAATAAAGCGATAACAACGAAAAAGCGCAAAAAAACGAGGAACAAAAAGAATTACAAAGGGACAAAAAATGAGCCGGAAAGAGGGGTGGACGAATTTCACATTGAAAAACTGCGGTTAGGTAGTGTTTGAGCGAGAATGCACGAAGGCGACGCAATGTCTGCAATACAGACAACACATCGGAATTAACGGAGTTTCTTAAATAAAAAAACATTCGCATGCAATAATCTACACAAAATATGTTAAAATCTTCAATAAACTTACGAGAATATTTAAAGAATGCTACCGTGGAAAATTCATAACAAAAAAAAAACAATAGAAATAACAAACATAAAATAGAAATAACAGCCGAATACTAGCTCCTGTACGAGGCGGTTGACCAGCTGATCATTCCTGGCAATTTGCCAATCTGNCAATGTCTGCAATACAGACAACACATCGGAATTAACGGAGTTTCTTAAATAAAAAAACATTCGCATGCAATAATCTACACAAAATATGTTAAAATCTTCAATAAACTTACGAGAATATTTAAAGAATGCTACCGTGGAAAATTCATAACAAAAAAAAACAATAGAAATAACAAACATAAAATAGAAATAACAGCCGAATACTAGCTCCTGTACGAGGCGGTTGACCAGCTGATCATTCCTGGCAATTTGCCAATCTGCGTATCGATTTTTCAACAACTTCGCTCCAGTGCGAATGTGGTGAAGAACAACTTGAACACGTGGTCAGCCTAACGAGGGGCGGAGGCCTCCCGTCCCCCA